ATAAATTTTGAATTTTTGAAAAACACATTTTGCAGACTAATCCTAGGACTGTACCCGAGCTCAGTAAATCTTGCAGAAAGATTATCTAGAAGTCAAAAACAAGTTTGAGATCAACGTGGCTCCTATGTTGGCCAATGAATGCATGCACTATTTTAAGTAAAACTAATTAACTAAAATAAATGAATAAAAAAGTAAAAATATAAATATTCCCATAAAACTCAGTATACTTATTTTAAGCAAGAACTTGTGGAAGCCTGCAAAGTTTGATGCTGTTTAGCAAAAGGGTGCGCTATAACAGTGATATTTACATTGTAAATTAATTAGATTGCCATGCCTTGCATTACTTAAGTATTTATCAGAAAAAAAATGAGCAGCCTTCATAGTTTTTTTTTTTGTGGGAAAGGTCCTTTTTAATTTTAAGAGCTTGTTCCTAAAATTTGTTTATTTGAACTTGTATAATAGAACAAAAATAAAGGAAAAAAAATAAAATGTGTCTGCAGGATGTGGATCAAGTGCTTGCAGAAAATTGTGCATTTCTTAAAGGTTTTTAGTCACTCCCACCATTGAGGAACAGTGAGTGTGAAAGTTCTGGAAAGTGACTCTGATAGCCTATACGTAGTATATGCTAACTGGAAAACATGTAAATCATTTTTAAGTAATAAAGGGCTTTGTTGTTCCCAGTAGGCTAATGGCTGTTTGTGACATGTGATTGTCCTCTGCTGATAGCTGGAGGTGATCATAATGTTAGATGTTCCCGGAACTTTAGTGTGACGTTGCATTGCACTCAGCACATTGCGATGAGCCACAGGAGCAATTTCCATTGGTGATAAGGTTTAATCCATGACATCGTTAGATGAAACATAAAGCTAACTATGCTACATACGTCTCAATGGACTAGTAGAACTAAATCTAAAATATTGAAATATCACTGCATCGGAATCATGCATTATACATGCATGCATTATACATCTCCCAATGGCTCTTGTCCGGGGCATTATTTTGAGAATGTTTCCAGCATGTGATGATAACAAACACACACCAGTCAGTCACAGATGGCAGGTTGTTCTACCTAACTGTTAAATAGTTAATGTGCTAACTACGCCATGAATTAGGTAACACAATGCTTTGCTGCTGTCACAAGTTTTGCTCTATTTTTTCCCCCATCAATACCAGATGGTAAATTTGTTGGCTTACTTGTGGAGCAATCAAAATACAATATTTTGTGTTGAATAGTTTAATTAATTGTCTGTGTATCATTGTGATAATTTATAGTATTCCGCTCTAGATTTTTAAATATCCATCTTAAAAAAATATTTAAAAGAGTCCTGGACTGAATGAGTGTCCAGCAATCACAAGAACATAGGAGGCTTTTCACAAGACCCTTGAGTGATTTAGTATTTAATGTAGTCAAGACACTTTTCACATAGCATTGCTGAAACCCACCCATGCTGTAGTTACCTTTATCCTGATGAAAAAAGGTGGATAATACTCTTTTTTTTTTTCTATCTCCCTTTTTTATTTCCCTCTGTCCGATACCATTTTGTCATATTTTAACTGTCCATGTTCCAAGATAATGGAATTAATGTGGGAATTGGAGTGGACAGCGGTGCCTTCACAAGCTCTTGGGGATGTTTGACAATGAGGGGATTAATTTCAGTGTGGTCTTAAAGTCTTCTTTCTCAGGAATATTGGCCTGTGCCTTTGGGTTCAATTTAGTTATGGAATAATCAGAGGGTTGAAAAGAAAGGAAATACAGAGATACAACAGACAACAAGATTTTATATCAGTAAGTTTGACTTTGAAAACTGGAACATTCACATATGAAATGGAATATGGAAATTGCAGTGACAGGGTTAAAAGGGACACCTGTGCAAACCTAGAAAAAAAGGACTATTTTGGTTAACATAGAATTAGAAGTTCCAAGAAGTTTTTTAAAGATTAAGCAGAATTAATTGAGTTTAGCAACTTAATATATTACTTGTGATTTTGTTAATTCCATTTAATGTCCTTTTTTTAGTTTGTCCAGTTCTTACATGCAGTATGTAGGGAGGTGGAAAACAATTTACATTAGATGAAAATTCTATTAATAATAATAATAATAGTTTATATATACTGTATGTATGGTGTGTATATAAATATATATATAGAGATAGATAGATATGGTATTTTAAGTAAAAACATTTTAAGGTTTTTGTAGTTAACCCTGATTCACACAACTTACAGGTATTTTCCCTAAACTTTGAGTGCTAATATGATACTGTAATAGTCAAGTTGACATATTTAGGAAAAAACATGTATTCTTTGGTGAGAATAGCTACAGGTGGCTGACAAAGGATTAAAATGGGATATATTACTGCTACTGGCCATTTTACTGTGAAGTGCACAAAAGGACTTTACTCTTTTTAAAGATCCTGCTGTAACAAACTAGAGGGTTGTTTTATGTGGTTTATAATAGTAGCCCATAAGGACGAATCCACGATCACAGATAGCAGCCCAGATCCGAAGCTGCCTTTTATTCAACAAGTTCTTTCTCTCCCTCTCACCCACTCTGAAAGAATGAATGGAAACAATCAGCTTGAAGAGCAACAGACCAGTAACACAAAACCCTTTACAGTATAAACACAGGGACACTGTCCAAACTTGAGCTCTGTTCAGAGCTGAGCAGGCTTTGACTGCCATAATCTGCAGTGTAAATCTGCAGCCACTGCCTGTCTAGTCTCTGTCTGGGTTCCATGCTCTCAGACAAAAGCTCCGGACACCTTGCCCACTAACAAAGGGGTCGATGCCACTCTCCGCTAATTGAAGCGGACAAGGCTTGCTGATGGGGCCTTTTTGAGCAATTGAACTTGGTGAATGCTTCTTTGGGATCTGATGAAACACGGACAGTTGATTTGACTTCAAAAGCAGACTCCAGCAGGCACTCAGAGGAACTGATAATCAAAAATGGTCCCATGTTCAGGGAATAAAATATGTAGTTGAATGCTTTGAATAAAAAAGACTGCATGCCAAATGAATAATGTAAATAAAAAACACAGTCTGTCACGACTTATTGCAGTGAGAAGCTGGTCAGACTCAGTAGTCCTTATCAATAAAACTACAAAACATCAACATTAGTCTACCCTTACGAAAAATAAGTTTATTCAAGTGTGCTATTAGTATACTTCTTTTAAACTAAAAATAGGAAAGTATACTTTGTCTACTTTTTATGTACTTCTCAGAAATATACTTAAAATGACATTTAATATACTTGACTTATACTTAGAAAAAGTCTAAATATATTTGAGCTATACTTGTGTTCCTAGAATCCGTGTTTTCATTGTTATACTGTAGGGGGCGCTAGTACACATCTTCTGTACAGAATTTCCAAAAAACACAAGTGAAGAAGAAACCGAAACAACAGATGCTTCCACATGTATTCTAACACGATCATCAGACATAAAACAGTATCAAAACTGTGTAACGTTATGGAATAGTGAATAAAATGTCGACCGATGAAGAGGTAATAACTATCAAGCTTTGGGGTTTTGTTCGACTTTATCTACGTTTTGATTATCATTCTGAATCCAATTCATAGTCTTTTTTCAGCTTTTTGTTCAACTAAAATAAACTTGAAGTATACTACTTTTTGGTAAGGGTAGTCCAGAAATAAATGACAGAATACTTACTGTGTGTTGTAGAGAGAGGAGAAGTGATTCTGCTAGTGCATCAAATGATTAATCTCAGCCTCCTTTTGAAATCAGTTTGTGCCTGATAGTTGTTAACCACAAAATACTATTTTTCAATTTAAAGGGGTCCTATTATGCTTTTTCACTTTTTTTAAATTTTAGTCAGTGTAACGTTGCGCTTCTCGTCCGGTGCGTGACCACCTTAAACGCTGTTTTTTTCACCTCCGTGCCCAAACGTCTTTGTTTGGGCTTCCGAAAGCGGATGATGTCAGGAAACAGTGGTTGCAATTTATTTTTTAACTCTGTTCCTGAGCATTATAACCCCAATTGTGCATTTTACTGAGGACAGCTTCCACAACATGAGGGAGTACAGTGCCGGATTCGCCAAAAAGCTTTTGTTGAAAGATGGAGCAAGGGGCGTGGCAGTACTGAAACACTGTCTAAGCTGTTCACCAATCACAACGCACTGGGACAGCAAACCAATCACAACGCATTTTGTTTTTCGGAAGGCGGACCTTCATCAAAGCCGGAACTAATCGAGCCGTTTGTGCCAGGATGGGGAGAAAGGTATTTTAATAATGTAAATTATGTGAAAAATAATGCGTTTTTCGAACCACCAAGCATGAGAGCATGTTCTAGTACACCCCCAAAACAAAATCAAGACTTTGTAAAAGAGCATAATAGGACCCCTTTAATGACTGTTTTTTTCCATTTGTGTGTACTAATGCTCCACGCCACCATTAGGGAATGCTTTTAACTATGTGGCCACTAGGGGGCGACAAATATAAAAATAATGTGTGCTGGAAATAACTGCCCAGTTAATAACTCAAACAAATGTGGTTCAGTAAAAACAAACAAACACATGTTTTTTAAAAACAGTTGTTAAAATGTGTATTTTGTTATTTTGTTTACGATTTTTCATTTAGTTCTCTACATTTAATTACTTACTTACTTAGTTTCTTATTTATCGATATCAAAATGTAATCGTAAATTGATTAAAGCATTTGAAAGACGTGCATCCCGCAAATATTTAACCTGGCACAGCACAAGGGTTCTTCATGAAGTTTGTCCCTCACGCCACTCTGTACACTTTGTTTCCATAGCAACTACGGTGGACGCGAATGTACAAACATGAGGTAAACAGAGAAGCAGGCGCTTTGCGTCAAATAAAGGCAGAGTCAGCGCTTGTGTTTGTTAAATACTTGTGACATGCTTTTCTGTGTACATAATTTTTTACACCGTTGCTATGACATTGCAAATTTGCGCCTTTGCTTCGCACTCGAAAACCTTTCGCTTTCCCAGGGAGTTGGTTTACTTGATCCCGGGCTAATAATGATGAATGACATCGAACAGGCAATAGACGAGGAGCTGATGAAATTAAACATACATCCTTCTCAGAATGAGTTTTTTATGTTTTAAATAGGGCTGTCAAGTGATTATGTAAAAAAATAATCTAATTACTTAATGTACCAATTAATCAAATTAATCTCAAATTAATGAGATTAATTAATTAACATGAACATCATGTGCCAATTAAAGATAAAGTTATTATTAAAGATAATAGTTATCATTGTGTTCATTTAGAAAAAAAAAACACTAAATGGACATTACAGGAAAGTAGCTGAAATATAAGTAGCTTTAGATAGAAATATTTTAATTCAACATACAAAAATACAAATAAATAGGTCAAGGCCATCTTTATTTATATAGCACCTTTAAACAACATGGATGCTGACCAAGGTGCTTCACAGTAACACAATACAATGATAAAAATACAATTTAAAGTTAAAATTTAAATCAACAGCTTAACCCATAAAACCAAATAAAAATCAGGAATAAGAATTTAACTCACTAAGACCAACATATCCAACAAATTATAAATAGGCCTGCGAAAAGAGATACGTTTTCAATGATGATTTAAATGCAGATAAAGAAGATGATAACCTAACAGACTGAGGTAACGAATTCCACAGTTTAGGGGCTAATACAGAAAAGGCTCTGTCGCCTTTAGATTTCAAACGAGACAATGGGATGGTTAATAGATTATCAGAGGATGATCTAAGAGATCTCCGGGGTGAGTATGGACAAATAAGGTCTGAGATGTAGACTGGAGCCAGACCATGCAAGGCTTTAAACACAAAAGTTAAAACCTTGTACTCAATTCTAAATTTAACTGGTAGCTAATGTAAATGTGCTAAAATAGGGGTGATATGCTCTCTCTTTTTCTTCCCCATTAAGAAGCGGGCTGCAGCATTTTGAACCAGTTGCAAACGAGAAAGGGAAAACTGGTTGACACCAGCATATAAAGCATTACAATAATCAAGCCTTGTTGAAATGAAGGCATGAATAACTGTCTCTAGATCACTAAAAGATAAAAGAGATTTTAGTTCATGTATACCCCTAAGCTGGAAAAAACTAGCTCTAACAGCAGAGTTTATTTGCTTGTCGAATTTTAACTCTGAATCAAAAACAACACCCAGATTCTTTACATGAGTACGGATATTTTCTTGCAAGTTTGTCCATTAAAGTTCAGTCAATATGAATTTAGGCTTTAAATTCTCCCTTAAATTAAAGGCTGTTAATTACCCTTATTTACCCTCAGACATGCAGCATACTCCTCAGATGGTGTATTGCATTTTTGTTAGTGTATGATTATAAAAATGCATATTTTTTTGTCAGGTTATCTCTGAATTAGTGGAACAAGTTGGACATCTAAAAGACATTGTGCCACAGAATGCCCAGCGGGAGATTCCGAATATGTCAGGCATGGAAGGTATATTTTCTGTAATGAGATGGGCCTGTATTTTAAGTTTATTAAAACTAGTTAAAACATAGATTATGCTGCCATTGAATATGCAAAAATATAAAAACTAATTCTGCAATAGATTGCTAATGAGCCTCTTTATATTCACAGAATTATACCTTTACTCTGTTTTTAGATGATGTATGCACTGAGAGTGACCTTCAAATTAGTCTTGAGTGGAGAGAATTAGAGAAAAGACTAAGAAAGGAAGAGGAGCAGAAATGAGCAGCACAGCAGGTAGAAAGAGAGCTGCATTTGAACTCAGAAAGAGAAGAAGAGAGGAGAAGAAGAGGACTTATAAAGTTTTAGGAGGAGTTGAAAAAAAATAGAGGCCACTCTGGTAAGATTGTCTTTAGTACTTTAAAAAATATATTTTAAAATTAGAAGTAAAGATGATTGAATAACAAAATCGAAATTCATAACAGAACGTTGGAATGAAAAATGAAGTTCACCGCACAGAAGATCTTCAGCTGGAGCTGGATAAACAGCAGGTGACTTTAAATATGCCTAATATTGTTGAGGATGTGCAAGCATACAAAAATAAAGACTAAATAAAAATAAATATTTGTATAAAAATAAATATTTGTATATATATGAACAGAGTTGTGTATTATGTAAAAAAAATGGAACATACAAAAATTAGACAATTTGTTGAATGTATAATGTGAGAAATATTTTTTCAGTTGTAAATAAAACAAAAATGATTGGAGTACAATTTACAAGAAAACACTATTTCAATCTTGAGTCAGTAATTAGTTTACTAGCAATTTCTGAGTGAAATTTGTTACCATACACCAGTAAAGTAAATTTTACACCAATTTTGTTTACAATGTGTATATGTGTAAATAATGTGTATGCAAGTATAAGTGAAATTATTATATATTATATTACATTAATTTTGATTTTAACCTTATTCTCCTATAACCTTATATATCACCTCATAAATATGTACTGAAGTAAGTGTTTCAGTCAATAATAATTTTAGATGTTAATAAGGAAACTTCAGGAGCAAATGGAGGAGGAAAAACAGGCTTTTGAGAAGGTTCAGGAGGAGGAGAGAATGAGAACCCAGAAACTTCATTGCATAGCAGCAACAAAGATTCAAGCTGCTCTCAGAGGAACATTAGTGCGCCTCTGGAGCAAAACAGAGTGTAGGAGAAAAGAAAGAAGAGGAGAGGAGACTTGAGGAGGAGAAGAGGGAATGGGAGAAGCTGAAGATGGAGAGAGAACAGGAGAGAAACAGGATTGAGGAAGAAGAGCGCGCTCAGAGGGAGGAGATGGAGAGATGCAGAGCAGATTATGAAAGAGCTAAAGAACAAGAGTGCCATCGTCTAGAGAAGGAGCAAAGACTTGAACAACAGAAGAGGAAGATGAGAAAAGGAAGAAAATGCAGAAGAAGAAAAAGCAGAACAACATTACAAGTGTAAAAGATGATCGCAGAAGACAGGATGTAGACAAGAAGAATAAAGAAAAGGAAAGAACAAAAATGGAAAGAAGTAGTCAGGTGAAGGATGAATGTAAAAGAGAGGAGGAAAGAGGGGAACAGGAGAACAAAGAAAATGAGGTAAATGTGAGAAAAATAGAAGCTAATAATGAAAGAATCAGGCATGAGAAGAAAATGGAAAACACAGTGGATGACGACAGCAATATGATGAAAAAACAGGACAAACCTAAAAGCATAAACACAGAAGACACTGAAAGATTAGATTATATAAGACCACAAACAAAGAGTGATAAAGACAGAATAAAGAACCACGAAGAAGAAAAAACAGTTGAAAGCAGTGGAGAGCTCGACTCTCAGGTAAATCTCTCACAGTCAAGAAAAAGCATTAAAGTAACCAAAACCACTACAGAGTCACACATAAATGTACATCAAGGTCTCTCCAGTGACCATGGTATTAGTCCAGTGGGTTCCTCCAGTGTTGCAGATCATCTAAGTGTTCAAGGAAATACAGACTTGACTGTACAGGCTTCTGATTTGGCTGTTGTAGCACCTGAGATGGACACAAGGGGGCATCAAAATACTACCGCTTTTGAGCTTGAGGACCATAAACCAAAAAGCCAAGAATCAATTTCAATATGTTTGCCTGACAGCTCAGAGCAGAAGCGACTGGCCTGGATGATGAGCTGCACTCCCTGGTCCAAACTATCATTGTAGAATAAAAGGAAGGGGTCTTCTGCACAACAGCAGTCCAAAAAAAGAGGCCCAAGAAAAAGAAGAGTCCCGAGCTTACCCTCTCTGTCTGTGGACACTATTCTCAAAACAGGAGCTTGGAGCTCTCTCAGACAGGTAGAAATTAAACTTGAAAGCCCATTTCTTGGCTGTGACATGTTCATGCTGGCTTTATTGTAATTGTCTTGTAAAAAATCAGGTTACGACAGTGACGCTGGTAGACCTACCAGGATGTAGCCTGTCCACACTGTCCGAGTGTAACAAACTGCAGACTTTGACCCTTAGACGCTGCGGCCTCACTTCTTTGGATGGATTGAACCAGTGCTCTCAGATCAGATATATTGATGTACAAGTAAGAAAGAACAAACTATCCAATGCAGCATGCATTATGTGCATTATTTTCAAACTTTCTAGTAAAATGGTCCGTTATGCATGCTATACAGTATACACCCATTAAAAAGTTTAGATTTTAAAAAAAGAAAGTTTTTGAAAGAGGTCTCTTATACTCACCAAGGTTGCATTTACAGTATTTGATTAAAAACACAGAAAATTTGTAATATTGTAAAATTATTACAATTATATTATTACAAATGAAAAAACTGTTTTACATCTTAATTGATTTTTAAATATAAAATATTCATGTGAGGGCAAAGTTGAATTTTTATAGAAGCCATTATTCCAGTCTTCAGTGTCACATGATTCTTCAGAAATCATTCTTATGCACTAATTTTGTGCTTAAGAAACATGTTTCCTTATTATAAATGTTGAAAACAGTTTTTGCCCCAATTTTTTCAGGATTATTTGCTAAATAGAAGGTTTAAAAGAGCAGTATTTATTTAAAATAGAAATAATTTGTAACATTATGAAAGTCTGTACCACACTTTTAATACATTTTAATGCATCCTTGCTAAATAAAAGTATTAATTACTTAAAGAAAATTCTCACCCCAAAAGTTTGAACTGTAGTGTATGGTACCATTGTTTTTTACATTAAGGAGAACTCAATTACTTATCTGGATTGTGGAGGTCTAGCCAACCTTCAGGTCCTCCTTCTGGACAGGAACCAACTGATGAACATCCATGGTCTTGATGGAGCTGAAAACCTGCAAATTCGTCAGCTCTCACACAACAACATCTCTCGCATAAGTGAGTATCTACACTAGAAGTGTTCATTAACTCTATGTTTTATGTATTTTGCACTGAAAGCACTCAAGAAAGAGATACTGATTGTTGGTGAGTTGAAGACATCTGGATCTCATGTGTGACAGAATTAGTATCTAATGCTCAACGTTGTCATTATCCAGAAGAGGGCACCATTGTTCCAGTTTGGTGTCTTCGAATGGCCTTTTGCCCTCACTCTGCTCTTAAAATATGTCTTGATGTGTCTCATTTCTAAGAAAATGGCCTCATATTGAATAAATATGAATAAATGTATCATAAAGAAAAGGATAAATGCAGTTTAAAGGTATTTGCTGTCAGTGTTAGATTATGTCCTGCCAGTGCTGCCTTTTTATATTAGATTATCCTTTGGCTGGTATTAGATATTGTCACCATGGCCTAGAATTATCTTCATACACTCCTCCTACACCAGCATTGACTAAATGATATATCTTTGCTTTCTTAGGTGGTTTAGGACCCCTGAAAATGCTTCTGCGATTATCAGTGGACCATAACCAGCTGCTCAGCATAAGAGGTTTGAACGAAATTTATAGCCTTCTCCATCTGGACTGTTCGTACAACCACCTAAGCCACGTTGAGGGTTTGGAGAATTGTGCTCTGCTTAACACACTGGACCTCAGAGGAAACAGCCTGACTGAGGTAAATCTTACACAACCAAAGAAACAAACAAGTTGAAAGATGAGATCATGACTTATCATGTCTTCAGCAGTAATCTCACGATCATATTGAATAATCACAATTTTCCATTACTTTGATGTTTTGTCAGTATTCGAGAACTGTTTATGTTCTTATTCTAATTAGCCCGACTGAAATCATAGACTTTTCAGCACTTTTTTTATTTATTTAGGAACATATTTCCATCCCAGTGTCCAGAAAATGCGTAACTTGACAGTGTTCATTACATGATACCAATAAAAAAAATGCTCATCTGTTAGACTGCAATCCTGGGCTGCCATCACTTTAAATTAATTATCGAATTATCTGTTGTGCTTAACGTTTGTATATTAGTCATGTTCATGATGAGGCATGAGTTTCCACCCATTTCAGCTCATGGGACATTCATGGTTGGAACAGAAAGAATGACTTTATGTGTGATCACCTGGTCAAGAGGGAATTGTTGTTTTTATTTCCGGGCCTGTGGCATAGCTGCCTGTCCTGCAGAACCACATTCTTCTGAGGGACCTGTACCTGGATGACAATCTTCTATCTTCTATTGATGATCTGGAATCCTATTGGCTGTCTTTGCTCCAAAACCTCTCTGTGTCCCATAACAGGTAGGCCTCAATGGAGAATAGCTATCTCTCAAAACCTAGTGAGCTGCCTACCTAGGACATCGTACTGCAGGTGTTGTCTAGGCTAGCAGCTCACAATGTTTTGAGTCTCTTCCAATTCGTTTTTTGAACTTAACACTATCTTACAGTTAAATTCTACTAAAGGGTAAAGTCTTCAAGCCTTTGTTTAAATAGTGTACGTTCTTATGTAAAATGTAATATAAAAACCTACAAGTATACAGTGCTAAGATATTTTATTGTTTAAAATGAGGGTTCACTTTCTCCTCAGTGTAACTCATTTAATTCCACTCTTGGACCTGGTGTCTCTGAGGATGCTGGATGCCAGTCACAACTGTCTGTCAGGTGAACGTATGAAGTAGGGTGGGTCAACTTGACCATGCTTTTTTCATTTTCGGCTTCTTGAAAGGGTCTTTATTCTTGAATATGGATGGATAATCATTGTGACAAACGAACAGTTCTTTAAAAGAAGACTTCTATTCTCATATCTCCATATCTCATTTCATTCATCCTTATAGGGATAGTTCACCCCAAAATAAACATTTTGTTATTTACTCCCCTGTATTACCTGTATGCTGTTATTTTTTCAAATTTTCCATTTTTTTCCAATTAAATTTTCTTTTCATCACACATAACTATTATTAAAGTTCAAATGACCTCAGAAGATGACTATAGTGCAAGTTAAATGGACACTATATATTATTGTTATATGGAATAGAGCTGCATAGATTCTGCATGTCATTTTTTTAAGAATCATATTTTGCAAAATTCTATTTTTGTGTTCCACTGAAAAAAATATAAACAATCAAGTTTTGAATGACATAAGTCAATAATGACTATAAATTTTTTTAGTGTACTGTTACTTAAAGTACCATTGAGAATAACAGTTTTTGTGTATACTAATTCATAGAAATATTGATAACACTTTGTTTTAAGGACCAATTCTCACTGTTAAATAGCTGCTTATTATCATGCATATTACTAGCATACTGACCATTTATTAGTACTTATTATTCTGCATGACTATATTTTAGATCCCTTAATCCTACCCCCCACCTAAACTTAACAACTAACTTACTAATTATTAATAAGCAGCAAATTAGTAGTTTATAAAGGGAAATCTCTTAATTAATAGTGAATATGTGTTCCCTATTCTAAAGCGTTACCAAAATATTTAATCATAGTATTTGAGTGTCTTCAATTAAGACCGGGGGTGCGTTTCCCAAAAGCATCATTAGCTAACTATGGTCGTTAGTTCTATTGAACTCCATTGGTAACGACTGAACTTGCGACCATAGTTGCTTTTGGGAAACGTTTGGATTGCATCCAAAGCATTAGAATTATAACCATTCGCAGAGTAAATGGCAAAGTTTCTCTAAGTATCTCTGTTCTGACTCCCTTTTAGATTTGCAGAACATTTGTCTGAATCTTCAGGAATGCACCAGTCTTCAAGAACTTAACCTGACTTGTAACCCACTACAGCAGGAAAGCAACTGGAGGTAGGTGTGACCCAAGTACCCAGTTTAGGGCCTTTTACATTGACAGTTAAGTTCATTTTTCAGTTTCTCACTGGCACTAAGCTAAATTCTGGAGTATTTTTGTTGTTGAGAGTGAATCTTAGTATATAAAGGAAATGTGGTTCCTCCTTTTATAATGGAGAGATTTATCTTGGATTGGGCAGAAGCTGTCATGTGTGCATTCCAGCAAAAGTCACTAAGCATTTCATAATTGTCCGAGAATGTGAAACTAATGTGAATGGGGACATTGGCTGGAAGTGCACCAGGCGTTTAAAGTAGAATAAACATTCCTTTTTACCGCTGAGCTTCCGGCTCATATCACTGCACCGGCCATTGTATCTGTGTCCGCTATTAGATTACCCAGTAACATCTGTACGCACGTGGATTTAAGTGCTCGTAATTCTGAAAATATTTGCTCAGTGGGGGAATATGTTTTAAGCAAATGTGCTCCTAAAGTGCCAGCAGTTAGCTGAGGGTTTTTTTAATTTGCAAATTGTATGTTCTTATGTGCTAGAAAAAATGTGTGAGAGACAGAATAGGAAGATCAGGAAAATACAAAACCATGTTGGAATTAATTTCTCAAGAAGGAATCCAGTCCATTCAGCCAAAATGGAAAAAAATAACATCATACATACCAAAGAGATTTCTTGACTGTCATGACATGAGTTTATAGTTCAGAAGGCCTAAAAAGTTTAATGTTGGCAACACATTCATTTTTCTGACAGAAACGTCTTACTAAATTGACTTCTTATCAAATTGAATGTGGTGTGATATTTTTAGCTGTTTATTTTAATAGTTATTTTTTCAACTTTATTTTCCACTTTTTGCATGTGGCTTCCAAAAAGAAGTCTTGAGGTGAAATATATCTGCTGTGTCTTTACATCTGTTTTATTCTGTAATGACAGATAGGAAGTTCACTCGAGTCTGGCTCAGTATTCCACTGAACTTTGTCTAACCCTCAATGCCAACAACGAAATTAGACCCAGTGTTTTTCTCGCTCTCCACTGGCCCTTTCATCCCCGTCCAGTGATAACACAGCCTAAATTAAAGAACCGAAGGATATTTCAGAGAAGTACACAGCGCACAAGCGTTCAGAGCCTGGGAGAGGAGACTTTAGCTAGATTAATCAAACTCCTGTAAGTTTCTTTTGTTTACAGGGAAGTTTTCATGAGTAATGAATAGAGTCAGTTTTTTGGTAGCAATAGGAGCCTGGTGGCCGGACACAACATGGCCAAAAGTGTATCACATGACCATGTCTGCTTTGTAAATGTGAAGAAGTTTTTGGCTTTTAGAGATGACCTCTTTGATCCTCATTTTTGTTAATATCAGCTTGGATAGAATTTGCCAACACTTCATTTTATTTACCATCAAGTGTATCTTTTACAATTAACTGAATATTAATATACCACAACTGAAAAACTATTTTTAAACAAATACTGTCTTTAAAGTAAAAAATAATAACAAAGAAAATTTAGTAAAAAAGTTATATATTTTTCTTAAATATTTTATATTAGTAAAAGTATTCATTATGATAATAAAAACAAAGAGATAAAAAAGCTCAAATTTATTTAAAAAATAATAATAAATGATCAAAAAAATAGTTAATTAAAATTAGTGACTGCAAAAAATAGTAAGTAATTTAATTGTTACTGAATATAACACTCATTAACACTCATTGGTTCTTCATTTGTACTTCTCTCAGCAGGGTTCAGCAAAGACTAGGCTACATCTGTGTTTTCTCATACGCTTTTGCAAATTAAAACACAGACCAAAAAAAACAAAAAACAACAACAACATGGGCTCACTTGAGTGGCTGTCACATCTCTGAAATGAGGCCAGCAAACCCTTTTTCACTTCTAATCCAAGCCGAGTGTCATCATTGAGAAAGTCAGACTCTGACTAAACCTCTTAGTCGATGCACAGGCGCTCTGTTGATTCTCTTGGGTCCAGAATGTCAAACTCATTAAATGTTTTATCCCCTTTTCCTAAGTGATTTCATCTGCTCAATGTAAATATTCTCCAATAGAAAGCCCATGGAGACAGAGAGACTTTTTTATGATTGCAGTGGACAGTCAATGCAGTAACATTACATATTGGTCTGAACTGCTAATTGTTTTGCAAAAGAAGCTATTTAAAGTATAATTATTATAATTTTTTTGCATCTTTATATTTAATCTAGATTCTTTTTATACATAAACTAAAAGTTCTTTTTTTAAAATATCTTTTTTGCAATTATAAACCTTTGCTTTAAAACTTTGTTATAGCTTTGTTATACATTATAAAATAAACAGTCACTAACAATTAAAGCAATCATTTCAAAGAGCTTTGAGCACAATGTGTGGTTGTTTCACCTTACATTTTCATCAGGTAATTCTCGTAAATGCTTGTTTTCCCTCAGGTCCTTGCTTTTGGAAACAGTGCCTGGCTTGATTAAGTTGAATAATGAGCAGACTGCTGCTGCCGCAGTGCCCCGTAATTTTCCAGGACAGCAGTGGAGTTTCCAGGCCCTCTGTCAAGCACAGCAAGAGCGACGAGATTCACTTCTCCAGCAGCAAAAGATGGAGATCAGGTAGACAAGCAGTTTCAATTTTTCTCAAAAGTATTAATAAAGATCCAATTGGTGAAAATGTAAATCCTGTAGTATATTATGCAAAATGCATGTAATATTTAGTTTATAGTTTAATCATACTTGAATAGTAGGTAAATGAAAACAAATCATAATTTATGCAGAGGATCTTTGCAGAGAATTTGAAAATCCAGGCCAAAAAACTATGAATATTTAATAAATAAATAATTGTAATTATTTATTATTATAATAAATATTTTTTTAATTATTAAAAAAATAACTTATCTTTTATATGTGGTACGGCAGAGAAATTTTAACCTGAGTTTAATTATTTTCAAAATTTTGTGGTATGTAGAAATTTATAATTAGTTCTTTGAGCCTATTCATGCTGAATATCAAAAAAATATTATATATCCACTTCTTTCGATACAAAAGACCCCTCAGACGCTGCTGCAGACCACCAGCAAATAAAGCAGAACACTCGCCATGTTTCATGAAACATGATTGGCAGAAGTCTGTGTGTCCTGTGGTTCAAACTGAGGTCTCTTATGGCTTGGAGGACTTTAGAGATACCCCCTAACCCTTCCGCAGCGCGTTCTGCACAAAGGGTCTTTTGCACACCCGCGTGGACTGCTGCAGCCATTTAACATCTGACCTGACCCAGTGTCAGTCCCCAGCTTTGGCAAGGTGAAGACTCTGACCGCGATACAATGGTAAACCAATGCCTGTGTTGATTAGAGTGACAGACCGAACTGAGGGGTTCATTTAATGTCATCAAACCACGGCAATAAAATGGAATTTATGCCACTGAATCATAAATATGTTGTGTTACTGCAAAAGCTGCATAAGTTCTTCAAAATATCTAAAAAAAAAGAAACTCTTTCCCGGTTTTTCTCTGAGGTAATTTCAGATGTCAGTAAGTAGGGGAACTGTGTAACGTCTAGGATTGTATTTATTTGCCTTGGCTTGATTTTTACAGCTTGTAATAATGTTTGGCTTTCGGAATGTTCGTTGCTGACTGTATATGCAATTTGACATTAATTTGTTTTAATGAGGTAATCAAATTAGCCATTTTGTTATACATCTTTGTCCTTGCACTGAATTTCAACATGTTTCGACAGTAGTTTTGTTTCCCAGTACAATTGTACATTGCATTTGACTCTTGCAAGGCTCTTTTTATGACTCTATTCTGGACAAAGTGTATGTTGGAGGGGTGCAGATGCCCCTTTAACCGTGTCAGAGGATTAGAATAGCAGGGACTCTATAGTGACAGAGCTGGTTTCTGATGTTGACAGCAAAGACGTGCTCAAGGGTCAGGGGCAGGAGGGGCTGAACCAGCCACTGCTAATAGAATAATTAGAGTAGGATTGAGACACCTTTGTAGAGACTTCCTGAAAAACTTCATTTTAAGCCAGTTTTACATCTCGCAAGAAATTTTCTGATTTCTGTGGTAAAGGCTAGTTTAAAGGGGTTCTATTATGCTTTTTCACTTTTTCAACTTGTAGTCTGTAATGTTGCTGTTTGAGCATAAAAAAAGATCTGCAAAGTTACAAAGTTCAAAGTCCACTT